AAGATGTAAGATCCTCCAGTTGCTGTGCAAAAGAGCTCCACTATAGGCTTGCTTAACCCTGTAATGTAAACGAGTCCTTTTTTTCCCCAAACAAGAAAAGTTTTATATTATTTTTATTTATTACTGGCATTTATAAAGCACCAACATATTCCACAGTGCTGTGCAATTAAAGGGTTAAAACTACAGGACCACTGCACCCAGACAACTTAATTGAGATGAAGTGGTGTGGTTGATGTCGGTGGTCCTTTAAGTACTTTTTACTCCTTCTGTTCACAAGAGCCATAGGCCCATCTATGGCACTATGTGACATGACAAGATTTGTATGGTATGTACTTGACATACAAGTAACATGTAAGGTGCTCTCATTGTCCCAAAACCTAGTGTGCACAGATGACAAACAAAAAAATCTGGGTAGCTTTACTCATCTCGCTTCATGAATGAAACAACTCAAGAGTTCTGAAATGCATATACCCTAATTCCCTCCTAACCTAGGGTTTAGATTTATGGGAAACAAGACAATAGCTCCATAATGCATCATAATGAGGGGGTTTCAGTTAATGCCCAGAGTAGCCCTTGAATATAGGTTTCACTCCAAAATGTTTTAAAGGATCACTATAGTGTCAGGAAAATAAAAAGCGGTTTTCCTGACACTATAGTGCCCTGAGGGTGCCCCCACCCTCAGGGTCCCCCTCCCATGGCGCTGAAGAGGTTAAACCCCCTTCAGCAGCTTACCTTAATCCAGCGCCAGTGACCTCTCCTCCCCGTCCGACGTCACTGGAGCCTAATGCGCATTCACAGTGTCCATAGGAAAGCATTTCTCAATGCTTTCCTATGGACGCTCTGCGCGATGAAGGCGAAATATGCCTCCAGCGTCGCAGATGCGCCTATAGTGACTGACCGGAAGACAGCCACTAGAGGCTGGTTTAACCCCAAATGTAAACATAGCAGTTTCTCTGAAACTGCAATGTTTGCATCTGAAGGGTTAAAACCTGAGTGACCTGGCACCCAAGACCACTTCATTGAGCTGAAGTGGTCTGGGTGACTATAGCGTCCCTTTAACTATTTCAAGATTCCAACTTTTAACTCATTCTGACAAATAAAATAGAACAGTGAAAAGGATTTGGCTATTTAAATTTGGCTGTTGAAAAAAAGAGTATTTCTCAGCTAAACTGGAGACGAGTACGGAGTATACATGCCATTACAGTGTCTGATTTCCTATTGTGTTGCCCTTAATAATTTGTTGGCACATTATCAAAAGGTAATAGCAGAGACAACAATGGGTGGTGAAACTGGGTATTTTTCCCCCTTCAAACACAATGAAAAATCTTACAAAACAGGAACCATCACAAGTGATGAAAGAAACATTAAAACAAAGAAACTTTGTGTTCTTGGATTTTTTAATATATTTAATTTTACATTGCAAAGAGAAGTCACATTTTTGACGTATATGAAACCTAATATTGCTTGCTTATTTCAAAGTAGGACACAAACACATCTCTTTGAATATAGGGTGGGGGAGTCTGCTCACCCTTTGCTGGATCTTAAAGGGGTTAAATAACATTGTTAAGTGGTGATTTTATAAGCTTGGTGTAAACTCCACTAGAAGTTGTGTTGACAGCTGTGAGAAGCTTTGCTTGTAACACCCAGCCTCTGTATGACCTCTGCCTCATTACTTTCTACCAAACAGATCTCTTTAGAGTGCCCTTAAGTTGCCTGGAGAGGCAGATCGTTCAGACTAGCTTTATAATGATTTATTTACAGAAAAGTAATGCATTTTGTAAACGCGGACACCCCAAAATGCATATAAGGTAAGCTTGTCCAAACATGACAGTTTAAGAAGAGGACAATGTTTGATGTGCAAACTTATAGCTCAACAAAGGTCTTGCTGTAAATACGTTTTATTGCTACTACAAGGCTGTCAATGCACTTGCGCAGTGATTGCAAATCTTGGCCAAAAAAACCAGCATCCATTAAATAACCAATTATGGACAAAAAGAAATAACTTTTTATATCTGTAATATCTTGTTGATTTTGATCGAGAAACATATCACTCACACTGCTCAATGCAAAGGTCTAAATAATCTTTTAAAAAGTCTCTATAAGCATCATTACAAGTTTGCATTACTGCAATTTTTATTGTGCACAGAGCACTCTGCTCTCGATTTTCCTTCACAGACTGGCTGATAAATGCATCGATTTGCTTCTTCCATTGCTCCCTCAAGTCGAACCAACTTAAACATTAAGCATGCATACAAAGTTTAGACATCTTTCTCATGCCCTCTCTGATTCTTGATTGAGCCCAAGTTGCTGCTATGCATGCGAGTTTAGCACCTTGGTACATACACAGGGTGAGATTCAAGGGAACTATGACGACCCCAACCCCTTTTTTGTATTAATTTTTTTAATGTAAAGTGACTGTTTGTTTAGATAATACATTAAAAAAAGTGTTAAATACATAAATAAAAACTTTCAAAGAATCCTCCAACAACAACATATCTTGCCTGAAACTAGAGGCAGACCCCTTCACCATCAGGAAAAAAAACTTTTCCTAATGGAAAAGGTATGGTTTTTTTTCCAAGCCAGTTTAGGGAATGGGGAGTCACTGATTGGCTGAAAGTGCTAGCTGACCGCTCTCAGCCAATCAGCGGAGCCCCTGCCCGGTGTACTCCGCACTTCCTGAATATGACTATTTATATGCCAGATGCCACCTGGGGAGGAGTGTACATTCCCGCTGGAGGCAACTTTTAGGTAACAGTGCGTCCAGGGGCCTCCTGGCACCATAATAACTTCATTTAGATGAAGTTGTTTTGGTGTCTGGAGTATCCCTTTAAATAACAGCAGTGACTACTGTTTGTAGTAAGACAGGGGAGTAGCATAAGTTAAAATACTTTGAATGTGTCATGTTTTCAAATTATACATTAATGGGCAACCAGTCATTTCCTCACAAAACATTTCATCTTTAATTCCCATGAAACAAAAGAAATGGTATGACTGAACTCTGTGAAAGGATTATGGACTGTGGGTTTAAAGAAGTTCATATTTAAAATGACACTGACACCAAATGTGCCAAAAAAGATTTTTGAATACTACCATCTGTCATAAATTATCACTATTTCGATACAATACACCTTCGATGAGAAAAAATTTCAAGGCTCATAATCTGTATTTTTCTTTTCTATGTAATATATACTTATAAATGTCAAATTTATTTAATACTTCCCTGAAGAAATATGCATTTAGTCAAACTGACCAATTTTAATGCTGACACTTATGAAAAAAAGTTCCACATCTTAAAGGGGCACTGTAGGCACTATAACCATTTATTCCCTTTGAATTGGTTAAAATGCCTGGAGGCACCTAGCAATCCCCTCTATTCATTGTTAAAGGAACACTATAGCGTAAGGAATGCAAATATGTGTTTCTAGTGCTATAGCGCCCTGCTAACATGTTAAGTGTCCCGTCCCCACCTGCAATGAGTAAAACAGCAGTTTTATTCACCTTTTCTCCCTTGCAACACCAGTCCCTAGGATTGATTATCTCAATCGAATGCTTTCCCATAGAAAATCCGTAAGAGGCCAGTGCGCATGTGTGCAAAACTCCATGCTGTTCCAATCAGATGGCCTTTAAGAGACCACTCAGCCATTTTGGCAGAAGTGTATTTAGTGGCTGTCAGAATGATAGCCACTAGAAGCGTTTAAACCCTGTAATATTTTACAATGCAGAGTCCTCATCAGGATTCTTCAGACATTACTGCTGTACCCTAACCCATGCACGCAGGGCCGGACTGGCCCACCGGGATACCGGGAAATTTCCCAGTGGGCCGCAGCACTTGGGGCCCGGGGAGAGACAGGGGAGCCCTATTACCTATAACTAAATACCATTTGGTAAGTTTTCCCTCAGACTGTGAGAGTCCGAGGGAATTATGGAGGGATGAGCTTGGTGCCGGTGCGGCTGCATTGAGGATGGGGCAGCCAGAGAGAGCTTTCGGGCACTCAAAGCTCTGCCCCCAGGTCCGCTCCCCGGTCGCAAGCTGGTGACCTCAGGGCAGGAAGAGTCCAGGGAATGGAGTCCTCACCTCCCAGTAGCCTGCAGTGCCAGGTAGGCTTCAAATACACTGCAACTAGTGTGTGTGTGTCAGTGAGCACGCGTGTGTGTGTCCGTGACCACGCGTGTGTGTGTCCGTGACCACGCGTGTGTGTGTCCGTGACCACGCGTGTGTGTGTCCGTGACCACGCGTGTGTGTGTCCGTGACCACGCGTGTGTGTGTCCGTGACCACGCGTGTGTGTGTCCGTGACCACGCGTGTGTGTGTCCGTGACCACGCGTGTGTGTGTGTCGGTGACCACGTCTGTAGTGACCGTGTGTGTGTGTCGGTGACCACGTCTGTAGTAACCGTGTGTGTGTGTCGGTGACCACGTCTGTAGTAACCGTGTGTGTGTGTCGGTGACCACGTCTGTAGTGACCGTGTATGTGTGTCGGTGACCACGTCTGTAGTGACCGTGTATGTGTGTCACTGACCAAGTCTGTAGTGACCATGTATGTGTGTGTCAGTGAGCATGTATGTAGTAAGCATTTTTATGTCAATGAGCTTGTCTGTAGTAAGCTTGTGTGTGTGTGTCAGTTTGTCTGTACTAAGTGTGTGTGTGTACCTGTAAGCTTGTCTGAGTTTGTCAGTGATCTTGTGTGTGTCAGTGAGATTGCCAGTCTGTGAGCCTGTGTACCAGTGAACTTGTGTCAATGAGATTGTCTGTTCCTGCATGTGAGTATGCTTATTTGTACTAATATTTATAATTAAAAAACGAACTTACCAATAATAAAAGTATATATTTATATATCCTTTAGTGAGAATGATTAATATCCCTTTATAACATTTAAAATATTGCTATGTCTCGCTACTCCAGATTGAGTAATTCTAATTCATAAACATAGTATATATATATATATATATATATATATATATATATATATATATATATATATATAAAAATCTATATGCCAGCCCTATAAATCATTGTGCCACGGTAGTGCGTATATATATATATATATATATATATATATATATATACACATATATATATATACACACACACACACACACACACACCACTGTGGCACAGTGACTTATGGGGCTGGCATGCATTTTTTTCCAGGGCTGCTTTGCATTCCTAGTCCGGCACTCCATACAAGAGAGTACAGAATTAAAGTCTACGGAGTATGACGAAAAACAGTGGGATTCTCCTTAGAATGAGCCAATTTCCTCCAGCCATCACTGGTGACAACAGGGGGGGACTGACAATTCTAAATGACAGTAGCTTCGCCCAGTGTCTAAAGGTGTCAACTTTAGGAAATAACAGAGACAAAATAGTCCCCATCTCTTGACTGGGTTGGCATTTCAGTGAAATTCCAAAAGAGTCACAATGAGTATTTCATAAAGATTCTATCTTTATGAAATACTTGTTTGTTTGTTTGGGGAGTTTTTGATGGGGGGGTGGGGGTGGGGGGGTGACAGTGCCACTTTAAGACAACAGGAACATGGCAGCCACACTACTTCATTGCAGCTCAAAGGAGATGGGCTACAAAGGACTAAGACATAAAAAAAATCAAAGGTTTGGCGCTGGATAGAAGGATGGCACCAGTTATCCCAGACACTATAATCACTTCAAGAAATGAAACAATTACAGGGTCCTTTAAGAACAGCATTTATCCTATTACAGCCCTGAAGTCGCTGTGTTGGTGCCACAGTTTGTAGAGGCTTTAGACTCACTAGTGTACCGCAAGACACTGGCTGAAAGCCACCGTTCATATATCACATGTGGCAGCATTTTTCCTTGAAGTCCACATACATCTGGGTTTTGTAGTCGCAACCAAATAAGTGAGCACACGTCACGTTTTTTTCTTAGCAGGGTACCTTGCATGCACTAGGAAATCTCACCAACGATATAGGATAGATCCAACTGTCCAGTTTGAATACTTTAGGCATATACTTTAACAAATAAACTCACAGCATTAGAAATGTGGGTATTCTTGTATTTTAGACTTTTTTGTAACCACTAGTAGTGGAATTCATGTAAAGTAATCTGAATTTTCCAAAATAAATATGCTAACCTGTCAAAGTGCGCAACCAAACTCCAAAAGAAAGATTCAAACATCAATGTACCTTTAAAGTAAATCTAAATTTACCCCTCTCAATTCACAAAACATATTTAAAACAGATTAAGGAAAGAGAAAAAAAAAAAAAGTATTTCCAAATATTTTTCAAGGAATAGTGGAAATACAATGGGTTAGCCAAAACAAGGCACAGCACAATAAAATCTGCACAACCCCAGGACTTTCAAATCCCTAAACAAACAGCTCTAAAATGAAGACAACAAACTGCACACACAACTACAAAAAAAAAAAAGAAGAAAAATCACCTGCAATGACTGGCAAAAAATCAAGTGATAAATATAAATACAGCCTACACACTATTGTACTCTGCATTTTTATAGTCATGATCTCATTCCACAGGAATAGCCAACTCATGATAGGAAATGAGTACCACAATTCGCAAATAAGTCCTTACATTTGCAGACAGTGACAATAAATCATGACAATCCATCCAACAGCTTTTAGTTATCTCCTTTTTTAGAAATGCATTATAATAATAGCAGATAATGGCAAAATAAGCGAGCCACTTAATAAAGTATGAAGAATTGAAAAGTGACTTGTAAACTTTAGGCCAAATTTCAAATATTCTGCAACACAAGTTTGTTTGTGGTTTGTTTACTTTTTTTTTTTGCCCAGCTAGGTCTATTCAGTCTAGATATTTAACATTCCATTGTAAACTCTCCACGATTCACAGTTTAGTGAATAATCCCCAGTGTTATGTCCCACACATTACAAACATGTATTCCCCATAGTGAATGAAAAAACAGCACAACTGTTTTGTTTTATTTTATTAATTTTTTCCCCCAATTTGGGTATTTTGACTTAAATTTGAAATGTCACTATGGAGTTTATTCACTTAATTAAGAACTGCAGTGAACTGGTTCATATAACAGATTTGTATAAATAAATAAATACAATTCTCCCAGTCAGCTATAGTCACTGCTTGGTATTTATCCTTCATTATTGTACAGCGCTGCAGAATAGGTTGGCGCTATCTAAATACCAATAATACTAATAATGATAATACTACTACTACTACTAATAATAATAATACCAATAATAATAATACTAATGATAAAACTACTAACAATAATACCAATAATAATACTAATGATAAAACTACTAATAATAATACTAATAATGATAACACCAATAATAATGATAATATTACTAATAATAATAATAATATCAATAATACTAATAATATCAATAATACTAATAATATCAATAATGATATTGATAATAATACTGGCATTGTGATTTAATTTTCTTCCAATTCCTAGTTTATTGGAGCCCAGACTGTCCCTGGTTTAGTACATAGCCCAGCCAGCCAGCTCTCAGGGTGTGTGGTTGTTGCAGTCAGTGTGTGCTTGTTGCAGTCAGTGTGTGCTTGTTGCACACATGGTACATGCAGCTCTCACACACACCAGGTATGATGGTTACTGTAACACAGAGCAGTGTGCTGCTCCATTCACAAGGGGGAGAGGCTGTATCTCCCACAAATGCCATGCAGCATCAGCCCAAGCAAGCAGCCATCTGCAGATCCTCACCCAGCCACCCACTCCATGCATGACTGGCCTTCCTGCTAGACACACAGGGAAACCCTTCACCCCCAGTTACCCCCGCCCGCCCGGCCGTTCCATTCACACTCACATCCCGATATGAAAACCTCAATATTTACATGATGAGCTTACGGCAGCGACCACGGCAGCTTCAGTGTACGCGCCACACTTCCTGTTGCGTCCCCTCCCCACTCACTACTCGCCGGCCCCCTCTGCTCGCACCACGCCTACCCGAAGGGAGGGGTGGAGCGGTGAGGGTGAGAGTGTGCGGATGGGAGAGAGCTGATTGGACGCTTGATAGCCACGTGTACAACCCCCCTCTCAATCCCCGCCCCTCTCCGCCGTGCTGCTAAGGACCTCGATTCCTTGGCGACCGCCATGGAAACAATGAAAGTGATGCGGTCGGGAGGGGGTGTAAGGGAAAAGGGGGGATGGCGGGCTGCTCGTGACACCTAGAGCGCAGAGCGAGGGTAGCAGGGAGGGGGGGCAGACTCAATCCAAATAATAATTGTGGGCTTGGGGTATGACGCTCTGCTAGTGATGGCTAGGGCTGTCAGCATCCACTGCAGCTCAGACAGGGATGGTTAGGGCTGTCACCATGACACCCACACAGTGTGTGCTCCCATCATCCTCAGCCAGAGAGTGTCAGCACTGCCACACGCCTATGATTCTCAGCCAGTGAGAACAGGGCTTGCCATCCTCCATAAATGATCAGGCGGTGGAGACAGGGCAGGCTTGCACCTATATGATGCTCTCTCAGCCAGTGACAACTGAGATGTCAAGCTCCCATGATGCTCAGCCAGCAAGGACTAGGACTGTCATGCTCTCATAATGCTCAGCCAGCAAGGACTAGGACTGTCATGATCTCATAATGCTCAGACAGCAAGGACTAGGACTGTCATGATCTCATAATGCTCAGCCAGCAAGGACTAGGACTGTCCTGCTCTCATAATGCTCAGACAGCAAGGACTAGGACTGTCCTGCTCTCATAATGCTCAGCCAGCAAGGACTAGGACTGTCATGATCTCATAATGCTCAGCCAGCAAGGACTAGGGCTGACATGCTCTCATAATGCTCAGACAGCAAGGACTAGGGCTGACATGCTCTCATAATGCTCAGCCAGCAAGGACTAGGACTGTCATTATCTCATGATGCTCAGACAGCAAGGACTAGGACTGTCATGCTCTCATGATGCTCAGACATCAAGGACTAAGACTGTCATGATCTCATAATGCTCAGACAGCAAGGACTAGGACTGTCATGCTCTCATGATGCTCAGACATCAAGGACTAGGACTGTCATGATCTCATAATGCTCAGACAGCAAGGACTAGGTCTGCCATGCTCTCATGTGCTCAGACGAACAAGGACTAGGGCTGCCATGCTCCCATGATGCTCAGACACATGGACTTAGGCTGTAATATGCCCATCAAGCTCAGCCAGGGAGTACGAGGGCAGTCATGCTCACGTGATCCACAGTGAGTGAAATCTTCCACAAGTCATCACTCAATTCTCAGATTGTGATGTATCAGTCACTCATGCTTACAGTATGCTCTGCGTATATGGCAGTTAAACTCAAATAACTATGGTACTTATGCTCAGACAGTAATGGCTGACCTACACCCATGATGCTCAGACAGGAAGGGCTGGGGCTGTCACGGTTCTAAGATGCTCAGACATTGATGGCCAGCCTTTTGCAATTCCAGTTAAAAAGTTATGGATTAGCTTTCCCAGGATAATTAGCTATATTATCCTGGGAATCCTAAACCATAACAGCTGTTATAATTTCTGGCTAAGCAGCATGGGCAGCATAGTCCTCAAATAATGGGGTTCTCTGTGTTATATAACTGCCAGAGTATCAAGGGAAACAAGGTCTACAACAGCTGGTGAGCCAGAGGTTACATTTCCCAAGTTTAGTGGAAAAACTGGAATATGATCATCAACATTATGTAAGGGTGGATCCCAGCACTGCAGTTAAGCCTCCCAAATGCTTGCCAGCTGCAGGCAGATGTTTGAAGGCTTTCTTAGAATAATTTGCATTAATACCTAGGGAAAAAAAAGAATTCTATAAACATTGGGGTTGTGCTTGGAGAGTTTGTGCTCCGTAAAATTCCTCCTTCCCTTCCAAATCACTGCTTATAGTGCTAATTTTAATAAGGTGCCCCTTATTAAAATTAGCCCTGCTAATTATAATAATTACAATTTTAATGAGTGAATAATGGAGAGGGAGAATGACACAAAAAGACATCATCTAAATATTTACAGATACATTGAGTTAGTATTCTTTTTGTTTTCATATAAACCAGCGTATTCTGTAGCACAGTCGATTATTTGCAAGCAGAACCATCAAATGTGAGGTTTTTGCATAACTGAATATCTAGAGCTACGGGCTTTGCTGTTTTTTTTTTTTTTGTTTTTTTTTTATTCCACTCATTACAATTTTTTAATTTATTTAATGTCATGTCTCTCTAGATGCCAGAGCGAGCGTGAGTGTGTTCAAGTCATCATAAGACAGCAAAGTCTTTATTTTTATTTAACTCTGTGGCAGTATTCATCTTCGTAAATGCTAGAGTTGTGTTTACTGGGGTTAGAGAATAAAGAACAGTCACTACCAGACAAGTGACATTTCCACTTTGAAGTGGCTCTCACTTTTTGGTTTCTGTATATTTTGCAAAGAACCCCAGAGGTGGATTTGGAGGTTCGTGCACAGCACAGCAAAATGCCACACCAATCAAATGCTTCGCAATGGAGAAGCACTGGAATGGCTGAGATCATCACGTTCGATCTCATCCGAGGAGGCGGGACAAACCCGTGCCAGATGCACACCATTTTTACAGTTGAAAAAACTGTATTTTGTTTAAAGGAATTGATAGCTATCTTTGATGCAAAGGGATGTGGGGTAAAGATGCACGTACTTAAACCACTGACAGGTGAAGTGAATAACATTGATTATATCATTACAATGGCACATGCCAATGGGGTGGTGTATATTAGGCAGCAAGTGAACAGTTAATTTTTGAATTTCGTGTGTTGGCAGCAGGAAAAATGGGCAAGTAAAAAGATCTGAGTGACTTTGACATGGGCCAAATAGTGATGGCTAGACGACGGTCATAGCATCTTCAAAATGGCAAGTCTTGTGAGGTGTTCCTTTTATGCAGTTGTCAGTACCTACCAAACGTAGTGCAAGTAATGATAACCGGTGTTGTCTGGTCTGATCACACAGAAGAGTTACTGTAGCTTAAATTGGTGAAAACCTTAATGCTGGCCATGATAGAAAGGTGCAGAATACTCAGTGCATCTAATTTGCTGTGTATGGGGCTGCAAAGCTGCAGAACGAATGGAGTGCCCATGATGACCTCTGTCCACTGGTGAATGCACCTTCAATGTGGATGTGAGCATCAGAAATGGACCATGGAGCAATAGTAGAAGGTTGCCTGGTCTGATGAAACACATATTCTTTTAGTTCAGGCAGATGGCCGGGTGCATGTGCGATGTTAACCTGGAGAGGAGATGGCAGCAGAATGCACTGTGGGAAAAAGGCAGACCAACTGAGACAGTGTTATGCTCTGGACAATGTTCTGCTGGGGAACCTTGGATCCTGGAATTAATGTGTATGTTACTTTGACATGTACCATCTACCTAGAGATTGTTGCAGTCCACGTATACCTCTTCATTGAAAAGATATTTGCTGATTGCAGTGGCCTCTTTCATCTGGATAATGCACCCTGACACCCGGCAAAAATTGTTCAGGAATGGTTTGAGGGACATGACAAAGAGTTCAAGGTGTTGCCTTGGCCTCCAAATCCCCTAGATCATCTGTGGGATGTGCTGGAACAAAAAAAAAACATCCATGGAGGACCCACCTTGCAAACTGCAGGACTTAAAGTTTTGGTGCTCATGTCTTGCTGCCAGATACCACAGGACACGTTCAGAGGTCTTGTGGAGTCCATGCCTCAATGCATCAGAGCTGTTTTGGCAGCACGAGGGCACCTACACGATATTATGCAGGTGGTTTTAATGTTGTGGTTGATAAGTGTATATATAGGGAATTAATTACTCATTTCAGAAATCAAAACATGTTATGACAGGTTCCAATTAGCTTTTTAAATCTATTATTTATTTAAATTAATTATTGTTTTTTATCTAACAATGCACAGAGTTGCAATATATCGCTATTAAGAACATTTATTCAATACGTAGTGAAATGTGGTAAATTAACAAGCATATTCCAGTACTATGGACAATATAGCCAAGTTGATGAATTGAGTTTTGGTTATGTTTTTATAGCAACACTTGTCACCATCTGTGCATAAAGACATTTATAAATTGTGCATTCTGTCCGTGGTGTGAGAAACGAACTTGCCAAATCCTTAATAAATGTGGCCAATCAGAAATCATTTAGTTTTTACATATTAAAAACAATTTATTAATAATAAAAGAGCAATGTCCATTTGTCCAATCAAGTTGATTCTTAATAAAGAATAATGAGGTATCATTTTACTGAAAGAAAACATCATCATGTCATCATTCTTCTTTGTTGCAAATGCAATCAGTGCAATCAAGTATAGACGTGGTTTCTGCTGCCTGGCTGTTGCCATGACAGCAGATACAAATTCCATATTCCGTGGTTAGATCTGTCTTGATCCTTTGTACATCATCTCTAAGGTGTTACCATTATTGTGTTTTCTTGTCATGTCTAGCAATAGTGTATATATCACTTATATTATTTTACATATTTCAAATAATTTAGATTGTAAGCTTGTAAATTTGCACGCTAACTTGTAAGGCACTTTGTTTCTTCTGAAGTAGTGTATATTTATAATGTACTGTCTGTATCACCCCATTTGTCAAGCTCTGCAAATATGTAGGTGCTTTTTGAATACATAATAATATGATGCATTATATAATTATGAACCTTGCAGATCATTGGCATTATAAGTATTATAGTGTCCAAATAGGGGTACACACAGACACTTTAACTGTTAAGGTAATTTTAGGCTCTTGCCGTCAAATCGGACACTTGAAGGGACACTGAAAGCACCACCTTAATGTAGGAGTTTTGATGCATATATGCGGCACCTTTTATCTCATGTAAACATTGCCTTTTGAGAGAATCATTGACTTTTCCAATGTTGACATTCTACAAGAAAACACACCTATAGTGCCAGGCTAACAGCTACAAAAAAGGCATCTCCTCATTAATAGCTTTAAAAATTCCAAGATTTTACTATTTACATGACGTAAAGTCATGATTTTATTAAAGACACGGAGGCGAGTATATGCAATCTCTTTCTTATTTATTTCCTCAGCAGCAAAAATAGTTGAGAGAAAAAACGAAAATGCTTTTAACATTAACATTTAAATCTGCCTAGGAACAGTGGCAGCCAATAATGTCATAGTGTCCATATGAAAGGAAGCTGTCATCTCTTGCTCCTCCTCTTTCTGTCTGCAACCTTCCATATAACGTAACGAAATAACATCCAATAAGTCCACAACGAGATTATCCGTATCCACCAATCAGGCTGCAAGGAAAAACAAAATATATGGTAAAATCCTATCTTCCAACTATTTGCATATCTTTAAGCAATATAATCAGAAATCCAAGTATTCTAAGTTAACCAAAAACCTTTCTTATCCTACCTTAAAATATTTAAACTGTGTAAGAATTTAATCATGGAATATGTGATTTACCGTAGTTCTCGAACCAGAAAAGGTATAAATGTATCCACCTTCTGCCTTTACGTCTGTTACATCTAGTGATGTCCCGAACGGTTCGCCACGGACTCATATTGAGTAAACTTTGACCCTGTACCTCACAGTCAGCAGACACAATCCAGCCAATCAGCAGCGGACCCTCCCTCCCAGACAGCTCACTAAGAATGCAGCTTCAAAATGGTCTGGGAGGGAGGGTCTGCTGCTGATTGGCTGGAATGTGTCTGCTGACTGTGAGGTACAGGGTCAAAGTTTACTCAATGATGAGTCCGTGGCGAACCGTTCGCCACGAACCGTTCGGGACATCACTAGTCACATCCTGTTCCATCCTGTTCCTCGCTGCAGATCATCTGGCAATGGCTTCTGGTATCCAGTACTCTTTTTGCTATCCTTGCTTAGTTTTTTTTGTTTTTTCTGGTTTTCTAGTCTATGTCTGGTATTTCTGGGTTAATTCCTGTAATCCATCCCTGGGATTCTCAGTCTCCAGGTTTCCTTTAAATGTTTGTTTTATGTTGCCACACCCGTTTGTTTTCCACTTTCCTTTTGTTTCAGCCTAGACCTGCAGCAGTGTTTCAAGTCTCTGCCCTTTCTTGCAGGTAAGTGCTATTGTGGTTTAGTATGGCTGTTTTAGCATTCATTAGGCAGTGTAGGACCTGCCAGATATGGGGTACATTGGCGTTGTTGGCAGGCTTATGCAATGTATGATCATATAATGTGACTAAATCCCCATACTTTTCATATATAGTGCTTAGCTATGTCTCCTCTTGTTTTACCTTGTATCTCTTGTCTTGTAATCCCTGTCCATGTACAGTCCTGTCCAGTCATGCCCATGTTATGTTCTTGTTTTCCTCATGTCTTGTGTACATGTTCTAGGTTCTGCTTTCTGTCCTGTTCTGTGTTCTCCTAGTTTTGTCTTGTTTTCATGTCTGGTGCCTATCTCTAGTCGTGCCCTGTTCTCCTAGTTTTGTCTTGTTTTCATGTATGGTGCCTATCTCTAGTCTCGCCTTGTTCTTCTAGTTTTGTCTTGTTTTCATGTATGGTGCCTTCCTTAGTCTTGCCTTGCTTCAGTACTGGATACACTCCTGCTGCAGAGCTTCCCTATTCAGCTCCTGGGAGGTCTGCTTAATTCCTAGCTCCTAGTTCCTGTGATCTGCGTAAGCTGCATCAGGGTTCTGGTATGTGGCTGCACAAACGCTGGTGCTTAACACCAGGGGGCGTGCGGTTACCCTGCACCAGACCCTGCTAATCCACCACCACACTGTGACTCCTACTCTGAACATCAGGCATACATGGGTCCGCCCGGACAGTGTCTGGGTTCCAGGCACCTGACCGCACCACCCTGACAACGCCATGTCAATAGTAAAATCTTGGAATTTTATTATAGACACGGAGGCTCGTATATGCAATTTCAAAGCTGATCAATAATCCTTGAAGAAAAATGTTCGATAGGGCGACAATAAAAGTCCCTAAACGTAGATTCCTTCAACCAATTGGCTGCTTTTAGGATATCCTCCAAACGACATCCTAACGTCGAAACCTTGGAGGCCATCTCCCCCCGTACAGAATGGGGTGAAAAACTCGATACATCAATCCCGGCTGTAGAAAGCATCCATCTTGTCCAGCGGGCCATTATAGGAATGAGACTGGGAGGTGTGGTTTCCTAAGGGAAACAAATAACGCGCTTTCCTGTGGAGACCGAAGGGAAGCCGTGTAGTCTATATATGCCTTCAGACATAGTACTGGGCACAGATTAGGATTGCTAGGAAATCCTGGATAGAAGACTTGTTTAGTCGACGTCTTAGTTCTTAGTGAAATGTTGAATAAAACTCCGCCCGATTGAAAGGTGATGGCGTTCCAGTCCAGGGCCCTGACATCGGAGACCCGTTTACATGCGATTAAACAAAGGAGGATGAGTAATTTTGCCGAAAGTTTCTGAAGTGAGAGTTCTTGATTCGTCGGCCACGTATCCAGGAAATTGAGGACTATGTTGACATCCCAGAAGGCCGAATACCTGTCCGTTGGAGGTCTCAACAATCTAATCCCTTTCATGAGTCGACAAGTCAAGCGGTGGTTTCCTGCTGTGTTTCCCTTTAACCCCTGGTGGCCAGCTGTTTATGTTGATCGTACGATATGCTTTTCCTGCTTCAAACATAGTTGTGATAAATGTAATATCTTATTTAGAGGGGCAGATATGGGATCCTCTTCCCTTGCCAGGCTCTCCATGCTAAATGGTAAGCGTTTCTAGTGCCTGGTGCCCATGCCTCTGCCAAAAGTCTGAGAGTTGACTGTGGAACGTCAGGGATGGTCCAGGGTCCCCTGAAAGGAGCCAAGCCATGAGGCGTAACAGACCTCTTTCCACTAGGTCGTGCGCGTTCCCATCCAGGTTGGTCAGCAACTCCGGCAGATTTAGGAGCAATCATGGGAAATCCATTGACATCGCTAGCAATCTGGGGAACCATGCCTGTGTCCGCCATTACGGGGTAATTAATACCAAGGAACATCTGTACTGCCTGAGATGGATGAGAGTCCGCGGTATGAGGTTGAACAATGTGAAAGCATGATGCCTTGTCTGTGGCCAGACTTGTATGAATGCATCGGCCGCTAGAGCTGCTGGGTCCGGTCTCCAGCTGTAAAACTTCAGAAGTTGCGTGTTCAAACGAGAAGCAAATAGGTCGATGTCCAGTTGACCTTACAGTGCTCGCAGTTGAAAAGTCTGTCTGTGTAGCTTCCAATCTCCCGAGTCCCTGAGATATCTGGAGTTCCAATCTGTCGTGGAGTTGTCCAGTCCCGGAATGTGTTCTGCAATCACAGAGATGTTGTTGCGGAGACAGAAGTGCCAAAACTCTTTTATTTTGTGCCCCCCAAGTGGTTTATGTATCTCACCGCTGACACGTTGTCCATTTTGAGTAGGACACAGCAGGTAATGTTGGTGGGTGTAAGGCTGCAGATGGTGAATGACCATGTGAGTTCCAAGCAGTTGATGTGGAGCCGTGTTTCCTGCTCCAACCATCTGCCGCCGGTGGTAATATCTCCACAGCGTGTGCCCCAGCTGTGTGACCTGGCATCCAACTCTATAATCAAGTCTGGTGTTTCCCCGAACATCGCCCTGCCATTCCAGGCCTCCATGTGGGTGAGCCACCAAGCTAGTTCCTCCCTTGACTCTGTGTCAAGAGTGAGTCGTGTTTCGTATGTGTAGCCTGTGCGGAGATAGGAGCCCTTGAGCCTCTGTAGTGCAGTGGGCCTGGAAATATGGCCTGGATGGATGAGAGGAGCAGACCTACGATTCATGACAGTTGTCGTACTGTTAAGTCTGGGGCTCGTAAGATTCG